AGAACTGCATTTTTTTGTATGTAATATTACGATTCCAAATTTTATAACACAAAAACAAAGTAGAAAAAAAGCTTAAAATTCATTGGGATATACTACCAATTTGCAACATCAGTCCACCACCTTAAACTACAGTAGATTTTCCCAATATCAAGGGACAAAAGCCTAAAGATCTGAATTATTTCATAGATAAACAGGACTTCAATGACTTTTGCTTAGATGAAGTAAGAATGTAAAAGTGTCATATTATTCTAGAAAAGATCACATTATGGGTTCCAAAGCCAACATCATTTAAAATGACTGTTCAAAATTGATTCTGGGCTGGAGAGATGGCTGAATGGTGAAGAACACTGGTTTTTCTTGCAGAAGAGCCAGGTTCGAATCCCAGCACCCACATGACAGCTAACAACTCTCCATAACTCCAGTTCCAGGGCATCCAACAGCCTCTTCTATCTTCCGAGGGCATTGTATGACACGAGTGCACTTATGTACATGCAGGCAATACACTCATATATATAAAATAAAAATAATAAATGAAATATTTAAGAAATTAAAAAAATGTTAAATTGATTGAACTGCTTGCTTGCCCACCTACAAGAACAAACATGTGATGGCTTGCCTTTGAGTAAATCCTGTCAAGGACTTTACCTTTTGGACTTAAACTTTAAAAGCTCCCATTGCCCCCCTACACACACACACACACTTAGTGCAGCATTCTCTAAATTGTCTCAGAGTGGTGCAGTTGCTGGCCAGCTAAACAACTTCAGTTGATTCAGAAAAAATAAAAAGTATGACCATGTATTTTTAAGTAATGGTGGAAGAAAACTACAAATAAACTAGTAAAGAAATGAGTCTGTGGAAATACTTCTTTATTGAGCAAATTTCATTTGAATGAATTTTGGGTCATTGTTATAGCCAAGATAAGAATTTTCAAATTCCTACCAATTTCTTCTTTGAAGAAAAAACATTATTGAGAGAAATCATGACCCCAAATATAGGTGTGAAAAAAAATAGCAAAGAAATGGAATTTAATTTTCTCCAGAATGAAGACAAAAAACACTGTGCATTAGATGGTGAGAAATAACAAACAGAAAAGAGAAAAAAAAATCAGATCACAGAACATAAAACATTACATGAAATCCATCACTCTATTCATTGAAAAAAACTGACTAAAGACTGGACAAGGGAACCAAAAAAGTGCTAGTAAAAACAAATTAAAAAAAAAATACAGGGGAGAAGTTGTTAAAAGAGACTTCAATGAAATACAAACTGTCGTTTAAGAATAACTGATACGTGTTCAAAAAGCTAAATAAATGGGTCTAGAAGAAATGCATGAATCCCTAAAGACATTTGACCTGTCAATATTAATTGCAAAAGAAAGAAAATGAAGCAGCAATTCAATATCCCCAAGGAATGATATCCCAAGTCTAGATGGGGTCATTACTGATATGTCACATTTTTTTTTTTTCATTTACTTAACACTATATTTGGAAAACAAACAAAAAATACAGCAACATACCAAGTCAGGTATTACCCATGTATCAACATTTATGTTTGAATTTTTATATCATATTTTTGAGCATTTAAATAGAGGAGGACTGATAATGACATGTGATGCACATTTTTTAATTTTTCCCACACTTTTTATTAGTTCTGTGAGAATTTCAAAGAATGTATTTTTATCAAATTGCCCTCCACTCCTAGAAGTCCATTCCTTCATGAACCATCCAATATTTTGTTCTCTGATTTTTGTTTTTCATTTATTTTTTCAATGAAATACAAAATTTGCACTGAACTGAACATAAACACTTGTGTATGGGGCCCACTCCCTTGAAGAACACTGACTCTCTCCCAGTACCTACCAATTATCAATTGTTCCTGAGCAAGGGGTGGAATTTGTGCCCAGCTACCACTCTCCATTCTGGAATTAAAGGTCTGTGCCACCACACCCAGCTTGTTGTTTGGTTTTTGGATGTTAGCCATGGTGAAAGGGTTAATAATCATAAAATGGTTTTAAATTACATTTCCCTTAGGACTACTGATGTAAAAAAATTTAAAAGAAGATCTTACACATTTCTATTCTATCCTTGGAGAATGACCCGAGTTCATTGTACATTCTAGATACTTATCCTCTCTTACCACCAGAATTTGGAGATACTACACCCATGAGCTATAGAAGAAAAAAGAAGAAATCAAGCTGGTACTGACTTCAAAGTTTCATCTCTATTGACTAGTCTTCACAGTGCTGGAAGGTGCTTTTTTACCATAGAAAAAATTGACCATCAATTTTACCCAAATGTGAATCCTGTGAGTTACAACAAAACTGGTCTAGCAAGGTATGTGCAACCATGACACAAATATTTTAAGGGTAACAATCACTTTAATTGGACTTAAGGTTGCCTTCATAAGGTAAAGCCAATACCTGGCATGGATATGAAGCTTAGGGGTCATAGGAGAGGGCCTAATACTACTATTCTGTAAAGTATATATAGTGTTAAATTTACTCCAAATGACTTATTTTTCTACCACTAGACTAATGCATCTTTCATTTGTCAGTAATGAAGCCTCTGTATGCAGCACATGGTGAATCATACAAAGACCCACAACTGAATAATGTGCAGATAATTAGACTGCATAGTACCTATCCCCAAGTAGACATCTATATTAAAATCCTGCCTCTGAACCCACAGGGATCATTGTAGAATAGCAAACAGAAATATTTTAAGAGTCACAGATGGTGGAATAACACAAAGAAACAGAGATTTATAGAAAATTGGAAAGTAGCTAATAAAATCAAAGCATTGGTGACAGCACATAGAAGTCCCACATAAGTTCAAAACAGGCAAAATTCCAGCATAGACATGGAGACGTTGATAAGAAACACCAATGATACTTGAGGAAGTATTGGCCACCATGGGCTTCAGGGAGGGGGGAAAAAGTTTTTCTTTCGTGGATGGAATATCTTCATAGGTTGACTGAGATCCAGTGAATATCTGCATATATATATACACACACACACACACACACACATATATATATGGAGAAAGAGAGGGAGAGAAATAGAGAACATGAAATTGGGTAGGGTAGTAAATGGGGTGCAGATAGGGAAGAGTATCTAAATATAATCAACATATAGTATATGAAATATTTTTTAATTTAATAAAAAAGAAAATAAATTGAACCCACAGAATATTAAACACATGAAAACCAAATTTAGTATAATGTGAAAAGATACATTGGTTGCTTGCATGAAATATTCAAATGATTAATATAATGGTTATATATTTTTAATATTTTGTTTATTATTTTTATGTTATGTGTA